GCGTGCGTGTGTGTCTCTCTCTCTCTGTCTGTGTCTCTGTGTGTGTGTGTGTGTTTGCTTGCTTTCTATTGCTGCGGACAGCATGGATTGCGAGACCAGATTCAAGAGTCGGGTCTCTAAAGTCGCCTTGCCGGAGACTGTGGCCAAAGTGCTAGCTGAACGAGACTTCAACATAATATACTATAATCTACTACAATATACTATCATATAAACTATAACAGGCTGAGACAACAAATGACTTTCCACTACACTGTGGAAGCGGGCGCGGAGGAAACGTTGAGTCCGCGGCGGTCGTGAGCTCATGCTCCACTGGCTGGTTTGTTCCAGGAAGAAGAGAGCCGCTGCCTGTGTGCATTTGCGATTTGTTTCCTAAACAAATGGCAAATACACACAAGGAAGGGAGGAACATTTAAGTTATCACAGCCTAAGCCATAAACCCCAAACCCCAAAGCCCTACCAGCACTGGCTTCAGGAGAGCTTCTTCACTGGAGACCTCAGCGCGAAGTGCGAAGCGCTTTCCCGAAAACAGGCAGCTTGGACCGCGCAAAGGAATATTGGGGGTTTCGGTTTAGAGATCAAGGTTTGGGGTTTCGTCTGGTTTAGAGTTGAGGCTTTAGTGTTGAGGTAGGGCTGTGGCGAGACCTACTGGGAGCCTTAATATTCGGCCTCCCACAACCCTAGCTTTAAAGAGACATCAAACGGAAGCAACAACATCTAAAGGCTGGGGGCAGCTCGGTCAGACCAGCAACGGCTAGAGTTACTGAGCTCTGACTGACCATGGGACCCGCAAAGAACCCGAAATCCGATCTGAAAGGAGCATCAGTCAATAGTGGGTCTTTTATGTTTCAAGTTGGGCGAACCCCAAAAGCCAGTGCACCCTGAATCTTAAAGCTTGAAGCATGGGTTGCGGATTTCCTGGAGGGAAGTTACAAGTGCAGTCTATTGACATACCTCGAGGGGGCTAAGCGGCTGCAGGGTTTGGGCCGTTGAGAGGCATCCGTATGCAGGATCTGGCGGTTCAGGGATTTGGGATTCCGGCGTAAAATAAACCTTTGGCCATACCTTATCCCTTCTCGCACCAAATCCTGACACCCTCAATCCCCCAGACCCCTGTGCCCCCGTGGAGTTCTGGGTACTTTGTCGTTGGGTGAATGGGCTTTTAGTTCAAGGTTAAGGTATCCCAGGCGGTATCAATACGTTGGACGACAGCAACCGTTCAGTAGCCCAAAGCCCAATTCCCACTCCTTGGGCCCTATAACCCAAACCCTATGTGTTACAGGGTTGTGCCCTGTTTCGGACGGCCTTTGCAAGATCTTTAACGGCACTGCCGATGTGCGCCGGCGATGACTTCTTTCGCGGGGCCAGGTTCCAAGGCAAAGTAAGAGGCACGGGGCATAGTAGGGGAGGGCAGGGGTTTAGAGTGTAGGGTTTAAGGGTTTAGGGTTTAGGGTGGAGGGGCAGGGACTGGGGCAAAACCAGGCGTAGGGATAGGGGCAGAGCCAGAATAGGAGCCGAACCGGAATGTGATCCCTGGCAGTTCCACTAAGATTCTAGAGCTCACATTCACTACAACGATAGTTTGAGTTTGACCCGGGCACCCTACAACCGAAACCCTAAAACGTTTAAGATGTTTAAGCATGTTAAAACCCTTAAACCCTAAACCCTAAACACTCTAACCGACACCCTAAACTTCAAACCGAAGGTCCCAGTGATGGAGAAAGAAGAGCCTCCGGACCCCGTCCCAGTCACGAAGCAGGAGAAGAGCCCCGGATTGCGGGAGTTTAGGCTTCGGGGTTCAGGGCTGAGGGCTTGAGGGCTACAGGTTCCGGGTTGAGGTGCCTGGAACGGCAGTTTAAGTGTCTGGGGAAGGTTTTGCTGGGGAATGTTAGGGCTTCTTTTTTTTTATTGTGTGTGTGTGTTTTGCTTTGTTACAAGGTATAGCCACTGTAGCAATAAGGCGATATTCCTCCAACGGCATTGTCTTTCGCTGTCCCTGAAAGGGTGGGGAAGGAACGAGAGAAGACGGTATGTAGCCTCGACCGGAGTATGTATCCGAGCTTTCATGCGGAAAGAGAAGAAACACTTCATTTGAATCCCTCATGTCACGAATGGTACATTCCATTACACAGGGATTTCTGCCTTTGCCGATGCTGGACTAAGTATTAATTCCACCTCTCTCAGTGTGATAGTCGTGGGTTGGTTCGTCAGGGCGATTATGTCAGGATGCAGCTCTAGCTCTAGCACTAAAGTTGTACGGTGCTAACTATATTACTAGCCAGCAAGACGAACTGCTGCACTAATCTGGCCGAACCTCATCGGCACAAAAGTAATAAGAAGAAGATTAGCCAGAAGAGTAGTCAGAATACTAACCAAATATTGCCATAGTCACAGTAGCAATAGTTTGTTCTCGGTTCACCTTTGGCCGACAAAATGCCTGTGTACCCTGAAAGGGACCCTAATTTAGAGCAATACCCCTGCGAACAAGCCGAGGATTATGGCCGTGGTAAAGCGACGGGCATGCAATTCATATCCAGGGCTGCAGCTAGAGCTCTTCGCAAAGGGTGAGTTGCAGTAGCTGAAACGATGACCAATACTACTGTGGGGTTCCTCATAGGTATATACAGTAGTTATAGTACTGTATACCCCAAACCCAGTTCTAATTATCGCGGCCCGTATATTGGGGTGATGACTGACCTCCGCGCTGACCTTGCGACTTCTTAAATGTTCGGCATTTGGAGGACGAGGTGTGTTCTGAGTTACCTGTAAGTGACAAGCGCTCTTCGAGCCCATCACGGTTTGGACTAGATGGGCATATTACGAGAGGAATAATCCTGTGGCGATTCAAACAAAGGATTTTGGCTCTGAAGACTCTGTTTTTGGATTGGATGCTCTGTAGCTACGGCCTGGGGCCCGGAAGTTCCGAACGAAACACTATCTATGAAGCACTCCACAGCTATTTAGAAAGCAGGCCACAGACTAAAGCTCTGTATGAAACCGGAGACTTCCAGAAATGTGCAGAGTTCTAAGAAAATCTGCGAGGACCATGTCGGTCGTCTGCAAACCTTACTGCTGGCCTAAGGAGGAAGCAAAGCCCACACCCCCAAAGAGTCATCTGAATCCTAAACCCTTAATCCATCTAGTGCTCTTACGAAATCTTACTGTTCTTAGTCTATTCGAACTCCAAGTGTTCCTGCTGCACGAGGCTGGGATAACTACTAGTACTGTTCTTTGGGGCTCCTTTGACAAGAAAAATAAATTATAGTATAATGTTCGCCAAAACTCTATTCAAATCATAAAGGCCCCATACTACATTACACGAACCCCAACCCTGGACAAGCCTGAACGAGGTTGGTGGCACGGATTTCGAAGGAGATCGCCAAGGAGCCTGGCATTCCTGAAAGTTGTTCCTGCCAGGGAATCCGAGAATTTGGGCCGACGCATGCGCCCACAAATTTTGGCTGAAGCCTCCGGCACCTTTTGCCTGTAGTTTGTTTCTGCTCGAATCCAGCCTCAGAGCAATGTCGCAGCAGATCTCAGTGTCAGCATTTCTCATTTCCCGCATCAAAGAGCTTGGAGTTCAGCATGTCTTTGGCATCCCAGGAGACTATGTGTTGCCTTTTTTCGACGAGTTGATCAAGGAAGGAAGCCCAGTGAAGCAAATCGGCACTTGCAACGAGCTGAATGCGGCCTACCTCGCAGATGGGTACAGCCGCGTGAAAGGCTTCGGAGTTGCAGCTGTGACTTACGGACCCGGTGCTTTCAATGCAGTCAACGCCGTGGCAGGGGCCTTTGATGCTCACGTCCCTCTGCTGTTGGTGTCGGGGGCGCCGCAGACGGCGAGATATCGAGAGGGTAAGAAGCTACTTCTGCATCATGCAGTCGGAAGTGATTTGAATGCTACTATCCGTGTGTTCACACCAATCACTGCTGCCGCGGCGCGTATTGAAACAGCAGAGGAGGCCATTCCCACCATTGATTGGCTGCTACGGGTTGCCCTTGATCAGAAAAGGCCAGTCTACCTGGAGATCCCTTTCGACATGCAGAGGGCAGAAGTCCAAGTGCCAGGCCGCTTGAACTACCAACCACCGAGCAGCGACGAGCAAGCCCTTCGTAAGGTGGTGGAGCGGGTGGCCCATGCTGTGAACAGTGCAGGAAAGGTGGGGGTGTTGGTTGGGGTGTTCGTCGACCGGGATGGCCTTCAACAAGTCGTGGAGGATATGCTGACCACCAGCAGGCTTCCGTTTGCTACGACATTTGACCAGAAGGCTGGCTACCTAGAGTACCTGCCGAACTGTGTAGGCTTTTACCAAGGAGGCGTCACTCCGCAGCCGGTGCTGGATGCCACGGAAGGTGCCGACATTCTCTTGACTCTCGGTATGCCACGGACCGAGTTCAACCTGGGCTTTCTTACGCATGACTTCAAGGAGGACCGTATGATTGAACTTGGCCATGATACGGCTAATGTGATGGGGGAGGAGGTACATGGTGTCTACTTGCGCCACCTCGTGCCACTGTTGGCCCAGAGAATCAGCCCTCGTGCAGAAGAAGTGTTCGAGGACACTTTTCCTTTCACCTACACCAAGCAGAGAGAGGTTCCGGAGAACCGTCCGCTGAC